GACAAAAAACGTCTGGAGGCTTTCACCGGAGCTAGTGCAATTGCCAACAAAGCAAATGCACAGAAGAACTGAAGAGACTAGTCTTGACGCAGATGGTCGAACAGGTAGAAGTGGTGAAAAGGATTGACGCTAGCACACAGGTCACAGCTCTTTCGAGAAGAGCCGGTCATCTTTTCAAGGTCCACGAGGCTGAAATCCTTGTAAGAGGTGACGACCGCGTGAGCCGTAAGCTACTCGGGTCATGGTTTTCAGGCCCACGGTCCAGTCACAAGCGCACTGACCCCCCAATCCCACATCCTGTGCTGAGGCTTTGCCTGTGCAGGGTGAACTAGCCATGTGGGGATGGCGCGGGCGACTAAAACTTCGAACGACAGCGAGCCAAATTGCTGAGTCATGATGAACTCACGGAAACTAACGACTCGGATCTGAACTGACAAGCAATAATTGCATCAATTACGACGCCCGGTGATGATCGTCAGATTTGCTAATTATAGTACGCATGTATCAGCATAGCAACTACGTACTATAAATACTGCATTCATCGCGAATCTAATATCTTTCTTTGCGACTACATAAGAGGAGGGTATTAACCGAAATCCGAAACGCCAGGCTAGCAACTTTCTTGTTCTGGCGATCGCATCTTCCTCTAAATCATATTTGTGTCTGGTTTCCACCTGGAACTAATCGACGACGTAATCGTTTTAGAGCCAAACCATGTGCTAAGGCAAAAATTGCATGTGTGCGCAATAGCCCGAAATTCCCTCAGGCTCGGGGATGCTAATTAGCAGCGTAAAAATGCAACGATAACCAGCGTCAACGACATGACCTCGAGGACGAGAACCATTAGCATAACCTCCTCCCACCACCATCGCTATCCGTCATCCTTATCTGCGAATCCTTATCGTTATTGGCTAAATGCAAAAGATGGACTTCCCGTGGGTCCAAACTGTCTCAAGACAACGGGAACAAAGAGAAAATGTTGAAGTAATCGGAGCAAAATAGATGCAACCGCGAGCTATTTTGATCTTCTCATCAAACCTACCCTAGTCGCTCGCGATTAGAACGGTAAGCAAGTTCCATCCATCATACGCCCCGTCTTCAAGGTTTTTTGAAACCAGAATTGTTTAGATAGCTGACAAAAGCGAATATGCGAGTTCCAGGAAGCAGTTTCGAAGAAGAATATGCGATCACTGGAACAAGAAATTTACTTTACTGACGTTTCGGATTCCGTCAGAATATCTTAATCATAGGTAGTGAGAACGCAGCCTGAATCATGTGCAGATAGGGATGAAACACAAACAGGTTGCACGGCATTTAT